TCTCTCTCTCTCTCTCTCTCTCTCTCTCTCTCTCTCTCTCTGTGTGTGTGTGTGTGTGTGTGTTCAGAGGACAACTTTCTGGAGTCAGTTGAACTCAGGTCACCAGGCTTGTGCTGCACATGCATTTACCATCTCATGGATTCTTACTGGGGTTTCTTACAGAGCATGGTGAGATTATGCTTACACCAATGCAAAAATGCAACTCCAACCTCAAAGGGGACTAGAGAAAATTTTGGGTTTTTTTCTTTCTTTCTTTTTTTCTGAAGCCAAACATGAATATCCACAGCCTAGGAACACAGATTCAGGTCACCCCCAATTCAATGTTCCAATGTGGTAACAGTTTCGTGAACTATTTAAAGTAATAGAATGAGGAAATTCATAAATCATAGAACATTTCAAATGAAGTTGGAATATCAGATGTGTTCTTTTAAAGCAGAAGGTAGAACTCTTAGCTGTAGGCCTTCGATGTTATCTGATAACATCCTTTGTCTTTTGATTAGTAGAAGCTAGTTCTACATTCCAAAGGTTTCACCAGTTAGTCACAAGGATGCTAGGACAGACACAGAGGCGAACAAGCAACGGCAATTAAGGGAGCTAAAGCTAACCCAAGACAAACTGAAATTAGATTCTTAGATGTACAACGCTGTCACTGATGTTCTAATCAGTCAATTAGTCTTAAAGAATTTTGAATGGAAAGAGACATCTTTTCAAGCACAAATATCTTACTGATATCATTTTGCTATTAGTGTTAGATCACGGATCTGCACACACACCCATTTAATTATTTTAATTAAAATATAATTTCATCATTTTCCATCCCTTTTCTCTTTAAAACACTTGTCACTCTAAGTGGTCAGATCCCATAGCCTGAAGAAATCTAGACTATAGCTCCCTGCAGCAGTCTCTGGAGGCAGAGTTAAGAAATCATGATGTGCTGTGGCTTAACAGCTCATAGGTTATGGTCCTGTGCAGTGCCTTGTGGTGGTATTGTGTTCCCCAAAATATTGTGTACCCTAATAAACTCATCTGGGATCAGAGAACAGAACAGCCACTAGATATAGAGGCCAGAAAATGGTGGCACACATGCATTTAGTCCTATCACTTGGGAGGCAGGAATCCATCATGATCTCCGTGAGTTTAAAGCCACATTGGAAACAGCCAGGCATGGTGACACATGCCTTTAATTCCAGGAAGTGAGCCTATAATCCCAGGAAGTGATGGAAGAAAGCAGAAATGTATATAAGGCGTGAAAACCAGGAACTAGGTTGGTTAAGCTTTCAGGCTTTCGAGAAACAGTTCAGCTGAGATTCATTCTGAATGAGGACTCAGAGGCTTCCAGGCTGAGGAAACAGGATCAGCTGAGGAATTGGCAAGGTGAGGTGGCTGTGGTTTGTTCTGCTTCTCTGATCTTCCAGCATTCACCCCAATACCTGGCTTCAGGTTTGATTTTATTAATAAGACCATTTAAGATTCATGCTACATCATCTGGCTCCTCCATGTTCCTTGTCATGTAGGCTATGCTATGCTGAGCTAAGTGAGGTGGTGTGGAACTTCTTACCACCCTCTGAAATGATCTAAATGCCAAATATTTACCTTTGTTTTGAAGGTTTTCTTCCTAAGGGCTCTTCTCTGGGTCTCTACCAGGTATCCTCTCCATGGTGACTTCTTTTCTTTTACTTCAATTTTATCTGTTCTTCAATCTTATCTGTTTCTAATGAAGCCTCTCACCAAGGTTTAAAGGCAGTAACACAATGGTAGCCATGTCTATAATAATGTTACTAGAGCTCCTGATACTCCCTTGTAGATAGAGGAAGGAAGATCAAGAGACCATCACCTGATATTCTACCTATCGTGTCTCTGCCCCCTCCATCAGATGCAAATGGTCTCAACAAATGATAGAGTACAGATGAAGCAAAGGGTTCATTGAAACAGGGACACCATGAAGCAGTTTCCACAAGGCTGTCATCCATGATGGGATGAAGTCTGGAAATGTTACAGCTGTTTGGGGGTCCCCCACACTCCTGTGAGTGTGAACAAAACTCTTTTAGGTGGGGAGCTGCACCTTACAGTGAACTTTCTACAGTGTTAACTGATTGGAACGTCAACGCTGGTGGAAAGGTGGGATGCTATGGGTCCAAGGCCTAATAACAATTCATCTTCGATTATCTTTAGTCCCATTAATAGCCATCCCTTGCCCACCTCTGTGATGATCTAACATCCTGAAAAATGTATAATCAGACCACTATCCTCCTGCAACCAAAGGCTAGCTGGGAGTTTTCCTCTTTGCTATAATTTGTCTACCTTGTGTTTACACTAATATATTTGAAATGTACCTTGACTTACCACTTTCTTCATTCATTTCTATTCAAGAAGCTATTATTACTTTGGAACATGAAATTTGGGATAACGTCAATCTATGCTTCTAGATAATAATTACGTACTTTTGGCTTCAGAATAAACTCTTTATTATTCAATTTGAGGTGAGGGCTGTGTTTATTCATCCACATATGCATATGTACAGAATACCTAGGATTGTGAAACAGAGATTGTTAAGTTACAAAAATAGATGAATTAACAATATATAGATTGAATAAAATTGAAATTCTAAAAATCAATCAGGTAACCCACAGGAAGTCAGGAAAAAGAAAACAAGAAAGAACCAACAACATAGAGAGCAATCAGGAAACAAAAAGAAAATGGTATAATTAGGTCCTATCAAATCAATAATTATAACAAATAAAAAGCATTAGTTAAAAGACAAAAGAAACTGAATTTAACTTATCATTATTATTATTATTAAGAATTTTCTATTCATACAACCACAGATCCCCCCTTTTCCCTCTTCCCACACCCCAGCCTTCCCCCCTCCCTGCAATCCTACCCCCATTTCCTCCTTCTCCAAGTCAGGGTCTCCCATGGGAAGTCAACAGAGCCTGGTACATTCAGTTGAGGCAGGTCCAAGTCCCTCCTCCCTCCCCGCTGCCCCCTTCACCAAGGCTGCGCAAGGTGTCACACCTTAGGCACTAGGCTCCAAAAAGCCTGCCAATGCACCAGGGATGGATCCTGATCCCCCTGCCTGGGGTCCCCCAAAACAATTCAAGCTAAACAACTGTCTCACATATCCAGAGGGCCTAGTCCAGTCCCATGGGGGCTCCACAGCTATTGGTCCACAGTTCATGTGTTTCCACTAGTTTGGCTGACTGTCTCTGTATGTTATCCCCATCATGATCTTGATGTCTCTTGCTTATAGCATCCCTCCTCTCTCTCATCAATTGGACTCCTGGAGCTCGGCCTGGTGCCCAACCATGGATCTCTGCATCTGCTTCCATCAGTAACTGGATGAGGGCTCTATGATGACAGTTAAGGTATTCACTAATCTGATTGCCAGTATAGACCAGTTCAGGCACCCTCTCAATTATTGCTAGTAGTCTAAGGTGGGGTCTTCTCCTGGGAACTTCCCTAGTATCCTGTTTCTCCCTATTCCCATGATGTCTTCATTTATCATGGTATCTCTTTCCTTGCTCTTCCACTCTGTCCCTGTTCCAGCTCAAACCTCCCATTTCCTTATTTTCTCATCCCTCATTCCTTGCCCTCCATTACCCCCCCCACCCCCAGTTTGCTCATGTAGATATCATCTATTTCTCCTTTGCTGGGCTATCTATGTGTCCCTCTTAGGGTCCTCCTTGTCAGCTAGCTTCTCTGGAGCTATGGGTTATAGTCTCATTATCCTTTGCTTTACAACTAGCATTCACTTATGACTAAGTACATACCATGTCTGTCCTTCTGAGTCTGGGTTACCTCACTCAGGATGGTATTTTCTAGTTCTATCCATGTACCTGCAATTTTCATGATGTCATTGTTTTTTACTGCTGAGTAGTACTCCATTGTGTATATGTGCCACATTTTCTTTAACCACTCTTCATTTGAGGGGCATCTAGGTTGTTTCCAGGTTCTGGCTTTTAAGAATAATGCTGCTATGAACAAAGCTGAGCATGTGTCCTTGTGGTATGATTGAGCATTCCTTAGGTATATGCCCAAGAGTGGTATAGATGGATCTCAAGGTAGATTGGTTTCCAATTTTCTGAGAAACTGCCATACTGATTTCCAAAGTGGCTGTACAAGTTTGCATTCCCACCAACAGTGGAGGAATGTTCCCCTTACTCTATCCACACCCTCTTCAACATCAGCTGTCATCAGTGCTTTTGAACATTGCCACTCTGACAGGTGTAAGATGGTATCTCAGAGTTGTTTTGATTTGCATTTCCCTGATTATTTAAGGATGTTGAGCAATTCCTTCAATGTCTTTTGGCCATTTGAGATTCTTCTATTGAGAATTCTCTGTTTAGCTCTGTAGCCCATTTTTTAATTGAATTGTTCAGTATTTTGATGTCTAATTTCTTGAGTTCTTTATATAATCTGGATACCAACCCTCTGTCAGATGTGGGGTTGGTGAAGATCTTTTCCCATTCTGTAGGCTGTCATTCTGTCTTATTGACTGTGTCCTTTGCCCTACAAAAGCTTCTCATTTTGAGGAGGTCCCATTTATTAATTGTTTCTCTCAGTGTCTGTGCTACTGGTGTTATATTTAAAAAGTGGTCTCCTGTGCCAATGTGTTCAAGACTACTTCTACTTCCTACTTTCTCTTCTATTAAGTTCAGTGTAACAGTGTTTATGTTGATCCACTTGGACTTGAGTTTTGTGCATGGTGGCAGATATGGATCTCCCTGAACTCAAGCTCTACTATAGAGCTATGGTAATAAAAACAGCTTGGTACTGGCATAAAAACAGACATGTGGATCAATGGAAAATAATTGAAGACTCTGACATTAATCTGTACACCTATGAATACCTGATTTTTAACAAAGAAGCCAAAACTGTACCATGGGAAAAAGAAAGCATCTTCAACAAATGGTGCTGGCATAACTGGATGTCAACATGTAGAGGACTGCAAATAGATCCAGATCTGTCGCCATGCACAAAACTTTTTTTTTAATTTTCTAAAAAAAAAAAATCCAAACCAAGATTTTGTGTTAGAGAATTTAATAAACTAGGTGCCAATTCTACAATTTCTTTCCAGAAAGCATATCTATCATGAGTCCTAGAGCAGAAGTCACAGCCTAGATTCCATGCCACTGCTATTCTTGACAGTGAGTTTTGTCTGTGTTATCTCTGGTAGGGTAGGAGTTACAGAGTCTAGACTTTTCAAAATAACATTTGTAGTACTTTTACTCAAATCCTAGGGTTTAAAAGCTGCTAATTTCCCCAGCTGTGTTTTTGGCTATGCCTTTGTAAATGGCTGGGCTGTACAGCTTGTTATTTAGCTGATGTACCACAATTATCATTTCCTGACCTCCCCACACACTCGATGCAGTTCATTGTTCAGGAATATTTTATCTTTGTTTGAGTTACAAGGATTAAAAGCATTATAGCTTAATCCCTTTGATGCACCCAGACCATTCTTAAATTGAATGTTTTCCTATTAAATTTCCTACTGCGGACCAATTCACAGACACTGTAGCAAGAGAAGCAGGAAACCCTGATTAATTACAGAACTTTTGCCTCCATGAATCTCTAAAATATCTAATAACAAAAGGCACTTACACCAATCTGCAAGGTTAATAAATGTTTCATGTAATTTAAAATAAGTAACTTCAAAGTTTTGGACAGAAATAGTGAAGGGAGGGAGATGAGCTCTATAGACTATAGGAGCCAGTGTTTAAGAATTTATGTGTATTAAAGGCTCAAATCACAAGCAATTTTCCAACTAACTCAAACACTAATTCATACTAGAAAATCAACACACACTTGGTTGCCTATGATTCTTGAAATGGAGAACATGAGTTCATAAATTTAATTATGCATTCAAGTCAGAAGCTCCGATGCTATCATCAGATTTACAGCTTCAACTGACAGAGAGCAAAATATAATAAACTGTCAAGGAGGGAGGCTGTCTGCTGTCAGTAGGTGGGTTACACCCTGATCATTCTCTGTATGGTAGCCATGGAGATGGGAGAGAGGGCTTCCCTTTTGCTCTCCTTTGTAACCGGTGCACATGAAGACACTCACATCAGACGTATCTAACACAAACAAATGAATGCCATTTTTCTCTTTATGTTCTACAAATAATGGCTCAAATCATAGCAGGGGGAACTGCCAACATCTCAGTCAGTCTTGTACACCCCGGGAACTGTGTGCCCCGTGAGTATTAAAGCAATAAGTAGTAACCTAAGAATCAGAATCAAAAGAAGACTGCAAGACGGAACGTGGGTTTCTACATTTGCAAACCAGAACTCGTTTACTTGTAAAACTCATAACCTGCTTGCGCTGTTTCTCTGACTGCACTTGTTGTAGTTTTGCTTAAATCTCATCTCAGACAAGGATCAGTTTTACTTATAATGACTTTTCACTGTAGGATCTTATTTTCTCACACTTGAGGAGAGGGGTGATTTCACCAGACGTATGGTCCTATCTAAAGAAGAGCAACAAAGCTGGATTGAGCCTTTATAGCTGCTTTAGTACAAAGTCCTGTGTTAAGAGGAATGAGAATATTATGTCATGCCCAGACACACAGTCACAGGCCTTAGAAATGAATTCAGACAGGCAAGAATTTGTTCCACTTTCTTGTATACAGTGAGATATTACTCTGAAGTTTGAAAGCATGAAATTGCTCCAAAAGATATCACCTGTCATTCCAGTATAAAAATCATCATGTGTACCTCTCCCTATCCCCCCACCGTTAGAATCTGCTCAACAGTATCTAGGCATTCAAACATTGTAAAACTCATTTCTCTCTTTACTTTAAATTTTTTTGAAAATTTCATATAAAAATATACTGTTTTTATATCATTTTCATTCCTTAAACTCTTCCTATGTCCCCCCATTCTCTCTAAAATTAAAGGTCTCTTTCTTCTTTTACTATTATTATTCCCATACATACACACAACCTATTGAGTACATTTGCCATTGTTCATACATACATGTGTGTAAGACTGACCACTTGTGATTGGAAAACCTATCAGAGAGCTTGTCCCTGGAGAAAAGTGACTCTCCTTCCTCAGCAGCAATCCATGACTACCTTACCTCTTCGTTTGGGGGCGTGGGTGTGTGTGAAATTTCCCGTGTCTCGTTTGGGATGTCATCTGGTATAGCCATTATGCGGGTCTTGTTTAAGAAACTCATACTTTTGAGATTTCATGGATGCAACGCCTTTGTCATGTCTAGATGACACTGTCTTATGCCAGGTGTTCTGGTCCTCTGGCTTTTTTAACCCCTTGGCCCCTCTTTGATAAGGTTTCTTGAGCCTTAGGTACAGGGGTTGTGGTTCTAGGTATATCAGTTGGGGCTGAGTGCTCACCAGTCACCTACACCAGTCATTTTGACCAGTGTGGATCTCTATGACAAACTCTGTCTGCCTCAAAAGAAGCTTCTTTGATGAAGGATGAAAGCTGCACTTAACTGTTGGTATGAGGATAAAGATTTAAATACTGTTAAAAGCTATATTGATGTAGGGAAACGGTAGTATTAGATTGTCCATTGGTGTGTTTTAATCTCTTCAGACATAGGTAATTGGCCAGGTTTACAGTACCAGATATGACTACCACCCTCCTATTGAGTGGTCTTTGGGTTCAATTACACACCAGTTGGTTACCCCAAGATATAAATGCCACTATTGCACCCTTGGGGATATCCTGCTGGGTAGGACTATTGATTACTTTTCTCCCTTGTTTGCTTTTTTTTTTTTTAATCACAATCAGATACTATGAGAACTAGCTCTCAGGGAGGAGGCTTCTAGGATATTAGCAGCTTAAGTCCTTCCAGTCCTGTATTCAGAGTGTGTGTTGTCTTCAACCATAGGGTCTTACCTTCAAGCTCTGACTGACACTGGCCAAAGATTCCCATTACTATTACCATCAATTTCTTAGGACTGAAGATGCACACATCCCTTAAAATAAGACACATATATGTAAGCTTGAGAATATTTCTTTAGGAAGACTGAATAATCAGGCTTTCCATCCTCATTTCTTAGGAGTTTTCCCCGGTACTACTTGCTGTATTTAAAAACAGGAAAGAAACATTCAATCATTTGCTCCTTTGAAACTGTTGCTATTTCCTTGGAAGGTATAACAAAAATCAGGAATTTGTGGACAATAGGACAGACAAATAGGTAAATATTTATAAACATGTGAAATCTTCCTTATCAGATGATAATGTGTATCTATGGGAAGACAGGCCCTGTTACTTCCAGGAAAACAAAAGCAAATGCCTGAATATACCTACACAAAGCCTGTCTGCCAAGTGGTAACCAGGATCATCACTGTGTGCCTGATGTTCTGAGCCTCACAGGTAAATGTGAATGTGCTCTCTCTCCCTCACCTGACTGCCATCAATTCTTCTTCCATTGTTAGCATACATGAAAATTAACAGGTAGCACTCCAGTTATCCCCAGATAAGTCATTGTACTATCTTTGTTTATCACTTGTTTTTTCTTTGCTATATCTGTGCCTACAGAATTGACATTAAGATGAAAGAAACCACATCAGACAAGCAGAAAGAACAGCTGCCGAACACCGAGGGGGCATTGATTGACAGGTGCTGTAGCAAGGCTTCTATTCTGCTGTTTCACCTGTTCCTTTCCACGGGCCTACTACATCAATACCACCATTATCCCAATTTTACAGATAAGAGGACCAAGGCCAGGGTTGCGTCGTGCCAAAGCAGGAGATTCCATGACTCCAAAGTCCATGTTTTTAAACCAAACATCTATACTTACAGTAGCATGAGTGAGTCAGGGACTTGAGGCTTGTTTGATAAGGAAAGATACTGGAGGTGGGTAATGATTAACACGGAATAACAGAGCTTGGGCACTCAGCAGGTTGTGAACAGTGATCCCAAGAAAGGCGGGAGGGATGTCTGGGGTTGGGGAAACCTGGTGTTTGTGTGAAATGTCATCTGACAAGCAGGGTAAATGGTGGCAGCATTCAGGCTGCTCCTCTACCACAATTTCTTTCTCTTTCTTTCTTCTCTACTCCTCTGGTTCCTATACAAGTTCCAACTAAGAACATGTCACATGAAACTTAGAGGGAAAAAGTACTGTGCAGATATTTTAGTATTTGAAGCAGGCATGATTTTTCTCTCCACCTCTCACCCCAACCTTGGGTGTCTAGACTCTGTTCAAGTTAGATTTTTTTTTAATGCAAACTTCAGTCACAAGAAGAAAAGGACAGTGGTTAGTGTCACAGCATACACACATTCTAGCAAGTGTGCCCAACCTGCAGCTCATGGGTCACATGCATCCCAAAATAGCTGTGAATGAAGCCTGGTGCATTTGTAGATCACATTATAATATCAGAAGTTTGGGCGTCCCTGTGCCCTGAGTCAAAGGGGTGAGTATCCTGTATAGTAGGGCTTTCTCTCTGAAGGAAGAGGCTTGTCAACAGGGTGGTGTTCTATACAATGAGGGCTGGGTATGCTGTATGATGAGGGGTGGGTATGCTGAATGATGAGGGGTGGGTATGCTGTATGATGAGGGGTGAGTTGCTGCATGGTGAGGGGAGGGTGTGTTGTATGGTGAGGGGTGAGTGTGTTGTATAGTGAGAGGTAAGTGTGCTGTATGGTGACGGGTAGGCATGTTATATGATGAGGATTTCTCTCTGAAGAGGCTGAGCAAATCAGAGGATAAAACCCAACTCCACAGGTGTCTTATGACTCGGAGCAGAGCACTTCTTGTACCATCCCGACTCTAAACTTGTGGGACATCTGTCTTTCCCTAAACCTTCAGAAGGCTTTTTTCTTTCTTTTTTTAAAAGCACTTATTTATTCATATATTTTATGCATATGAGTGCTCTGTCTTCATGCACAGCAGAAGAAGGAATCTGATCCCATTACAGATGGTTGTGAGCCAACACGTGGTTGCTGGGAATTGAACTCAGGACCTCTGGAAGAGTAGTAAAGTGCTCTTTACTGCTGAGCCATCTCTCTAGGCCCCAGAGCACATTTCCTAATGTTACTCTAGGCCAGAGGACATCTCCTAATGTTACTCTATGACAAGGAATTTATGGACCAATATAAATCAGTTTGGCTCAGTTTGGCCAAGCCATGCTACTGAGATATTTGTATAAACCTGATTCTAGAGGGGCAATGTTTTGGATGACAGTGACAATCAAGAGATTTTCAGCAATGCACATTACTTTCCATTTGAGCTTCATCTATTCAGTGGAGGCCTCAGCAGAAAAGAGACTTCTGATGAGGAAGAAAGTCTGCTATCAAGATGTCTATGGTCCTGCACTACAGGTCTTCCCTGGGTCTTTGGTATGCCAGACCCATCCTACAGATTTTGGACCCGTCTTTCTCCACAATCACATGGACCATTAAAATGATGGGCTATTAAAACAATGCCCCTGTCTCTCTTTTTCTGTACTGGGGAGGGTGGTGGTGGCAGGCGTGAGCTACCTCCTCTGTGTTTAGAACATGTGAAGGTTATTTGGTTCAAACAGCGTGGCTTTGATGCCACCACTCTGAATGCTGGTTCTGCTTCATACAGGCAGTGTTACTTTCAAACCATGACTTGTCTTATCTTCAGTTGTATCTGTTGGTTTGTTTAACTTTGCAGATAAACATTGAGGCTTGAAGAGAGTTTTTGAAAGAAATGGGCACTAATATTGTTGGAGACAGAAGTTCTCCTCCATTGTCTTCCTCTCCAGCTACATAGCACTAGGCACAGTGCCTTGTGTTTGGGAGGTACTCAGTCATATCTGTTGAGTGAATCCCAAAGAAGGATTATGGCAAAAATACAAACTATTTTTTACTTTCTATGCAAAATCTAATAAAGTTTATTGTATGACTTAGAAATACAAAAAGAAATCATTCCGAGATCAGGCGCGTTCAGGGTGGTATGGCCGTAGACGACGGAGCCCTGGCGTTGGTGGCGCACGCCTTTAATCCCAGCACTC